TTTTATTTTATTTTATTTTATTTTATTTTATTTTATTTTATTTTATTCACTACATCCTGGTTGTAACCCCATCCCTCTTCCCCTTCCAGTTCCAGCCTCCCTCCCTCCTCTTCTCATTTTCCTCAGAAAAAAGGAGCTCTCTTTCCCATTCACCTCAGCTCATAAGGTTGTCCTCTTCCCAAGTGTCCTCTTATCCTGTAACCTGGCAAGGCTGTCTCACCAGGGAGTAGTGATCAAAAAGCTGATAAGTGAGTCCATGTTTCATGAGGTCCTTCTTCCCTTACTAAAGGATCTACATGAAGCCTAAGCTTCCCTTTTGCTACGTCTTTGTAAGAGTCTTAGGTTCAGTTCATGCATAGTCCTTGGTTGATGCTTCAGTCTCTGCAAGCCCCTCTGGACCCTGATTAGTCTGCTCTATTGGTCTTCTTTTGGAACTCTTGTCACCGCCAGCTCCTTTTTTCCTCTTTCCTCCTACTTTTCTACAAGACTTTCTATGCATTGACCAATGTTTGCCTGTGAGTCTCAGCATCCGTTTTTGAGGTGCTGCTGGACGGAGCCTCTCGGAGAACAATTCTGTCAGGCTCTTGTCTGCCAGCTTAGCAGAGTACCCTTCATAGTGTCAGGAGTTGGTGCTTTTTCAATAAGATGGGTCAAAGGATTAATATCCAAAATATATAATGAACTCAAGAAATCAAATACTAATAAACAAAATAACCCAATTAAAAAATGGGGTACAGAACTAAACAGAGATAATTCTCAACAGAGGAATCTCGAATTGCCAAGAAGCACTTAAAGAAATACTCAACTTTCTTAGTCATCAGGCAAATATAAATCAAAACAACTCTGAACTTTTTTTTTCTACAGTCTTGCTGGTAATTTGGAGTTCCCTGGTGTAGCTGGTCTTTTGGAAAAAGAAAAAAATACCCATTCCTTTGTCCCCTGCTGTTTTCTCTAAAGCATTTGAAATAAAAAAAAATTCCATTTTTTTATCCTTAATTTTGAAGTGTTGAGGTACCACTTGTAGCTTTGCTACTTTGTGGGTGCCTCTTTCCACCTTTATTCACTGCTCCCCAGTTTTAACCCATATCACCAGATAGGAGAAAAAGAAAGTTAGAGGGGAAAAAGATAGAGATCCTTGAATCTAATTTCTTTTTCTCTTGTTTCTTCTTTGAGCATGACTACCTACAAACTGCAAACAGTTCTCCCTGAACAGACATCAACCCTGCCTATGTGGCGGGGGGAGTTGGACTCTAGAATTTATAACCCTCTGAAAAGTTCTCAGAATTTCAAATGTCATACAATTGAAGAAATTATCTGTAGCTGGCATAACCTGGCTTCTGCTAGAGCACCTGGCAAGTCATAGTCGTGCTTTGGACAGTCTGAAGCAGCCCCATGTTCTTATACCTGGGATTAACACTAAAGCACATTTAAAAATATTTCTGTTTTTTTTTTTAAAGAAATCAAAATTACAGAATTGTCACTATACCCTGGAGTGTTGGTTTATTTGAAAGAAATTAAGCATTTATTTATTCTTTTCTGATATGTACTTCTTGCAACTTTGTCTAACTCTGACACTAAGCTTCAAGAGTAGAGACAGATGAAGAGAGAAGGAAGGAGGGAGATGGGAGGAAGAAGAGGGAGTTGGTGAGATGGAGGGAAAGGGAAAGGGAAAGAGAAGGAGGGAGGGAGGGAGAGAGAGAGAGAGAGGATGCATTGGGGCATTGGGGAACTGCATCCACTGTTCTGGGAGCACAGCCACCCTAACCAGAGAGGAAGGCTGTCCCCATTTCCGTCAGCCTGAGTGCTTGAGGGTTCTACTTCCTTCACTGATGCAGCTGCCACAATGTATGAGAGAATGAAGGAAAATATTAAATGATATTTTTTCTATGCTCTTGGAACATTAGGAGACCCATTTTTGCCTCTTTCTAAAGCTCTATTTGTCCATGTCAATTCACTGTTCTTGTTTGGCTTGAGTGAAGAATGAAACAAACATATTTATTATTTATTATTTCAATGAAGAATAGAAAAAATAGTGAACTCACTAATTGTGATTTGCTTTAATTTTGGTGTTCTTCATGAAGTTACCTATTGCCATGTTTTTTTTTTTTTTTAGAATATTTAAATGTCTTCTCTACGCATTCTGCTCCTGTTTGTTTTGGGATGAGGTGTGTGAGAGGATCTTGTTAAGTTGCCTAAGCTATCCTCGAACTCCCTGATGCAATTCTGCTCACCCCACCCTCTCAAGTAGCTGGGATTCTACTGTAGTGAATCAGTTGAGTGGATTAATCTGTGTTAACTGGAATCAGAAGCTCTGGGTTGAATAAGCTAGTTAGCAAACATGAATCTGTGTAGATAATGGAGTGTTTTCTTTGCTGTATATTTGTGATTATATACCAGGTGAGTCTTTTCATGCTCTTTCTGAGCCAGCTACTTTCTTAATAATTAGAGCGTTTATCTTCTGAAGACCTTGTCATAATTCGGACTTGGGTTTGACCCTAAAGTTCAACTAAAGACTCCCTTGTTTTCTAACAGGAAGACAGCATCAAAAGGGTCATCAGAGATAAATGGCCCCTCCCACCCACCTTAGGGCAGACCATCTGCAGCTCTTAGAATGGCAAGAGTTTTTAGTTCCCTCTAATTCAACCCTCTTTCCCCCAAGGGATTAGTTGCAGTCCAGATGATGCAGGTATTTATCTCATCACTCTCCCACCGATTGCCCTTACCCACCCTCACAGTGAGACTGACTAGAACACAATTCATTTGAATAATGCTTAGAAGACTCTGGGGAATCCTGAGATTCTGGATACAGTCAGAAAGGAAAAAAAAGGGGGGGGGGAGCATGTGCATGTGTGTAGGTTCAGAAATGTGGCTTTGTAACTTCTGGGAGCCGCTATTCTACTGGGCTCAGAGAAACCACAGACCCGTGTGACATCAAACTCTTAGTGATGGCGCTAAGGACAGGATTGTCAGCCTGGCAGAGAATCAATGCAAGCTAATTGATGTTTCTTGCCAGGAGCAAATGACCTCTGCTGTCTCATTTAGGTAGCTTGGTAGCTACTACCCAGGAGCTGGCTAGCCAACCCCAGACAGTCTGACCAGGTATGCCTGGACAGGGAGAGCAGCGGCGCCACTGAAGGGTTGGCTGTTCGCCTGGCAGAGGAGGGTAGAGCCCGCCCCTCCCAGACAGCGGGGTGGCTCTTCTAGGCAGGGGACAAACAGGTGCGCGGGCGGGAGGGGGCGGTGCTTGGGGATCCTGCGCACTGCACACGCCCCTCCCCCGCAGCTTGGCGTAGCCCGGGCCGGGCGCGAGCAGCTGTAGGAGGAGCTGCCGCCGAGCCCACAGAGGTAGGTCCGCGGCACCGCGGGAAGCTGCGGTCTGCGCGGGCTGTTGCTAGCCCCGCGTGGAAGAGGCACGGGCGACCCCGGAGTAATGGAGCCTAGTGACGCGGCGCGCCCCGGCCCCGGGAGAGCTGTTCTGGTGCTGTCGCCGCGGCTGCTGCTGCTGCCACTGTTGCCAGCGCTGCTGGGTCGGGGGCTGCGGGCCGGGGCCGCGGCCTCCTCTTCAGGGGCGGCGGCTGAGGACAGCAGCGCCATGGAGGAGCTCGCCACAGAGAAGGAGGCAGAGGAGAGTCACCGGCAGGACAGCGTGAGCCTGCTCACCTTCATCCTGCTGCTCACCCTCACTATCCTCACCATCTGGCTCTTCAAGCACCGCCGGGTGCGCTTCCTTCACGAGACAGGGCTGGCCATGATCTATGGTGAGTCTCCTGCCACTGCCCCGGGCCACGTCTCTTGGGTTCCCGCTGTGCTCCTCCCGTGCTGCATAGTCCTCCTGCTTCCCTTCGCAATGAGTTTCTTCTTTTTGCGTTTCCCGCTGAGACGCTGTGGGTTTCCAAGGTCAACTGTCTGCATTTTTCTGGCTCTCTGCTATGGTTAAAACATCCCGTTTCGACTTTCTTTACCATGAACCAAGATGAAAGATGTCGAGGTGGCCCCTCAGCCTCTCTGTTTGACTATGTCTCTGTTGTGCCCTTCTCCATTAGCATGGACTCCCCTCCCCGCCCCAGTTTAAATCTGCAGAGGGTACAGGAGCAGGTTGGGTGGTTTCCCAGGGAGCTGTGCCACCCCAGGGAACAGGCCTCAGAGGGGTGAGAAAGAGAGCTTGACTTGGGTTGTCCACGGTGGTCATCTGAGGTAGGTGCCCACTTCTGAGGTCTGTGCTCTTTTATCTTTTGTCATTATAGTCTGATGAAGAATACAGTGAAAGATGAGTGTGGTCTAGGACTTAGAGTGGTGACACTACCCTGTCAGGCCCAACTAGCGAGACAGGTATCCTTATGTCTCATTGGGAAATTATACCTCCTTTTTTGCTTTCTGCAAGCCGACAGTAGCTCTTGTATCCCTAAAATGGTCAACACGGAACAACTATGAAGATACATTTCTGAGTGGATGGAGGGAAAAGTGATGGTTTTAATTCTGGACTCGGCCCCTTTTTGTTAAAGATGGGCTGATAGCATTATCTTTTCTGGATTTAATAGTGTGCAGCATGTTACATTGGCAGGGTTATGACATGGATAACAACAGCCACCATCTGAGTCATCCTTTTTTTTCTCTCTCTCTCTCTCTGTGTCGCCTGTCACTGCCACTCCCCCACCACAACTCCCCCGGACTTCAAACTGGAGCCCAGCATTCTTTTTTAATTTAGTTCACGGGTGTTAAACGCCACAATTAGCATCCTATAATGGAGGGAAAAAAAGAGTCACCTCAGGAACTGTTTCCCAAACCAGAGCATTTTACTTATCACAGTATACTCCACTCAGTTTCCATCTAGGGATCCCTGACAGAGAATGGAAAGCAGACAGCTTAAAATTTAATGTGGAAATTACTCTTGGTTCTGGGCCTTATGGGTTGTATAGTTCTTGTTTGGTTATTAATAGTCAAGGCTTATGGCCACCAAACCCTTTCAGACAAATTGTATCAAGGACTAGTGATGCCCGGAGCCTTCCAGTTTGCAAGCAGTGGTCTAAACAGATCTTGAAATCAGAAAATCAAAAACCTAGTTGGTCATTGGAAATCACAGGTCTCAGGAAAGAATTGGGCCTCCATACTTGCTCATTGGAGCCTCTGTGGTTTGTGTTATTTGGTCACAAATGAGTGACATGAGGAAAGTAGGTAAAATGAGATGTTTCCTGAGTAGATACTGAATGAGTGATTGAAGTATGTTGCCATTTTAGGTTATTACAGGAAGTACATTTGACAGGCTCATAAACGCATGCTTAAAGATATAGAAAATAAATGGAGATTATATGTTCTGAGGATTATCCTATATTCATAGGGATTCAGTAATTTTTATCTTTGGCTTTTGTTTTGTTCAAGACAAGGTCTCACATAGTAGCTTAAGCTGTCTTGAAACTCACTGGTTAGCCCTTGTTGGCCCTGAATTTAGGGCAGTCCTCCTGCTTCAGCCTCCTGAGTACTGGGATTAAATACAGGAGCTACCATTACCCAACTTCAGTAATATTTATTTATTTTTTAAAAGATTTATTTATTTATTATGTATACATTATTCTGCCTGCATGTATGCCTGCACACCAGAAAAGAGCACTACATCTTATTATAGATGGTTATGAGCCATCATGTGGTTGCTGGGAATTGAACTCAGGTCCTTTGGGAGAGCAGTCAGTGCTCTTAACCTCTGAGCCATCTCTCCAGCCCCCCAGTCATCTTTCATCTTAAGTACTAAAAAGCAACAGTGGGATTTTGCATTGCTGATATATACTTTAAAAATTCACCTCAGTGTTTCAGTCATTGGCACCACATGCTAGTATGCTGTTTTGTTTTGTGGATAGTTATGTTACAAATCTTATAATATAACTGTATTATTTTGTTCTTTGTCTTTGAATCTTCTTGCTGCTTTTAAATATATTGGCAAATTAATTTGGTCAATATGTGATGTCCTGGGTTATGCCAAATGTTGATATGTTGATGTGGGTTGTTTGTAATTGTGAGAAAACATTTTTCTTCAGGATATTTGATCTTCTGTTTCAAACTTCCCCTCGATCCAAATCTAAATTTTAATGTTATTTGATTAACTAACTTTTCATTATATACTCAAAATTATTGGAGTGATAAGTCAGGAGACCCTGATCTCTGCACATGCACATTGGTGTGCACACCTGAACAAACCTTCACACACACATGCATATGCCCACAGACAAAGAAATCATATTTTATTTCTCAATATCAATAGAGGAAGTGAGTAGTTGTCCTCTTGTCTCTGAGTAATACAGGGCAGGAAGATTTAGGGAAGGACTTGTTGAGTGTCTGCTCTGTGTTGGGTATGCATATTAATTTCTGGAAGCTATAATTTAACTTTAAAATGGTCATTATTTTTTATGAATGAAAATGTTTGATTATGAAATCCAAAAACCCTTAAAGGTTTTTTTTTAAGTCTCATTCTTGTCATTTATTTTATTGGCATATATTCATTGCACATAGTGCTGGGTTTTATAAGAACATTTTAACACAAATATTTGATATACTGTCATATTTTATACCTTGCTATCCTCCACTTTTTTTTCTCCCCTGACTCCTGCTGTTTCCCTTTGTTTCCCTAGCCCAATGGTTCTCAACCTTCTTAATGCTGGACTCTTTAATAGAGTTCATCATGTTGTGGTGACAACAACCATAAAATTATTTTTGTTGCTACTTCATAACTATAATCTTGTTATTGTTATGAAATGTAATATAAATATTTTTGGAGGTAGAGGTTTGCCAAAGGGGTTGTGACCTATAGGTTGAGGACTACTGATGTAGCTGTTCAAGCTTCTATTTTTGTGTCATACATATATGCATGATTTCATGTTATATCTATAAAGTTTGAGATTCACAAATGAGAGAAAATACTCAATATTTGTCTTTTTGAGTCTGACTTAATTTACTTATTGTGATAGTCTGCTGCTGTACGAATTTTCCTACAAACCACATAATTTCATTCTTCATGGATGAGTAAAATTCTATTGTGTATGTACACCACATTTTCTTTATCCATTCACCTAATGACAGATACTTAGGTTGGTTCTAAGGCTTAGCTCTGTGAGACCTGCTGCAGGATGTGCAAATATCTCTAGAATGTCTTGCCTTGGAATCCTTTGAGTTAATACCCAAGTATCTTCTACCTTTTTCTATTGAACTGATATTTAACCTGAGAGAAGTATCTTTAGTATGAAACAATAAACTAGTACAGTTACAAATGTCTCTGAAAGTAGGCATTGGTTTCCTTAGGGACAGAACCTCAGTGGCTGTGACTTTTGAGTAGAAGGGAGATGTCACCATGTACTTTTTTGTGTATTTTGAGTTTTGAATTGTAGAAGTGTAATTCCCTAATAGCATGTCTATGCCTTCTTTCTGATCACTTGTGATATGTGTGCTTCTTTTTTTTTTAATTTTTATTTTTTTGAATTTTATTTTTTTCTTATCAGTTACATTTTATTAACTCTGTATCCCAGCCGTGTCCCAATCCCTCATTCCCTCCCAGTCCCTCCCTCCCTCCCTCATCTCCACCGTGCCCCTTGCCAAGTCCACTGATAGGGGGGACCTCCTCCCCATTCATCTGATCCTGTTTTATCAGGTATCTTCAGGACTGGCTGCAAAGCTCTCCTCTGTGGCCTAACAGGACTGCTCCTCCCTTGGGCGGTGGGGAGGCCAAAGAGCCAGTCATTGAGTTCCTGTTAGAAATAGTCCTTGTTCCCCTCACTATGGGAAACCAATTGGTTACTGAGCTACCACAGGCTACATCTGAGCAGAGGTTCTAGGTTACAGATATGTGTGCTTCTTAAATCACTCAATTTAACACCCACATCTCCCTGTTTAAATCATGGTATGTCATTCCATTGTCCTCAGGGAATAGTTATTCCTGTAGGAATTTGAACAAATAGATTCTGTAGTAGTAAGTATATGCTTGGATACAAAGGACCTAAGAACAATAAGAGACACATTGTGAATGTTTAGTGTTTGTAGTAAAAGACAAGAACGAAAAGACAGTTAACGAGCACTCTTCCCTGACAAGAGGCCAAGGCAGCTACAAGGCAAAGTGTTCCCAGACTTGACTTTCCAGGGAGTTTGAAAGCAGTCCCCAGATCTTAACATACCAGCTGTAGCCATCTGGGAGAAGCATTAACAAGGCACCAGTATAACCTCTTATGTTAGGCTAGGGAGCCCCTGGTGGCTTTGTAGGTGATTAAGCACCATTCTGAATTTACTGGGCCCTGCCTGTCTGCATAGCCAAAAGTGCAAAGTTTTGAGGTAGGGGTAGGGATAGGGGAAAGGAAAGGGAAGGGTGGCATCAACAGACTGTTAGTTACTTGCGGTTCTCTCTAAAGTTTACATTAGTTCTACTTCCTTCATAATGTTTTTGTGACAACTAATATGTATCCATAATGATATCCTTGTGCTACAGTAACCTATCACCTCCTTTCTGCGTGTCTGCCAGCTTTCTGAAGACTTACTGGTTAGCCTTGGAAGTTGTATGGGTTGTGGGTTCCTTGCTGCTGCTCTGTTGCTGGTTGGACCTGTATTGTTTTGTACAACTTCAGAGTGAGCCTTACAGAACAAGTATGAAAGGGCAGAATACGACTTGTAATATTCAACTTCCATTTGGGCATCTATGTTGGTGAGACTTTCTCATTGCTCTTACCAGGTACCCAAGAGAAACTACTTAAGAGAATGAGCATTGGATTCAGCCTGTCACAGTATGAAG